CCCTTTTGAGCGGCATGGTGTGTGCATGTCCTTGATGGGGATGCAGCCCCATGTCAGCATGGTGCCTGAGCAGGATGTGGGAGGACTGGTGCTTCTCTGCATTGATGACCTCATGCTGTGGATGGCACCATTCCCTGGGCAAGGGGGAGTGAAGTGATGGATTTTGCCCAGTGGTGTTCAGCCACCTCCAGCACGAGCAAGGGGGAGTGTTGATTGTGTAGGTGGTTGTGGTATTTTGCTCTAGCTGGTTGTGGGCTAAGGGTTTGGGCAAAATATGGTGGTTAGACTTGTTGCGGGCTGGTATTGATCTCGCACCCAACAAGCACCAACAAACCTTTGCTATTCACTACAACACCTTTGGTGTTGCTAGTTTAGCACTTTGGGTTGTTGGGGATTGCTGTAGGGCGAGGGTTGGGTTGGTAGGGTTTGAACAACTCGTCACTTTTCAGATCTGAACTCTTGCTAAAGCTAGTCTTTTGGTCTAATCCATGGCTGCCTACTAATTCCGCCAGAATACACTGTCGCACCTAAATCGCGATAGCGATCGGCCTAGATATTGGTTGAAAGCGTGCGTTACCATTTTGGAAATTAGAGATTAAGACCGTTCCAACGCGTACCTGCTCATAGTTTAAGATTACGTGAGCTGCACGCAATGTTCCGTCGAAGTCAGCGGACTTAATCTCTTGTACGCTCTCCAGATTCACGCGCTTTCCATCAGTGAGCTGTAGGAAGAGGTGCAGTTCATCTAGCTAGGTGTAGAACTTCACTGGGCGGCCCTCAGCATCGAAAAATAGCACCGGAGGACTAGCCATAGGAGCAGCAGTAGGAGTAGGCAGGCAGGTAGGACGGTCGGTTTGGTTCAGCCGAGACACGATGTTATAGCCCAGACACGATGGGACAGTCGAGACACGATGTTACAGCCCAGACACGATGTTTTAGCCCTTGACGATGGTACAGCCCAGACACAATGTTTGAGCCCTTAACGATGGTACAGCCCCGACACCATGTTTGAGTCCTTAACAATGGTAGAGCCCAGATACGATGTGTGAGCCCTTACCGATGGTACAACCCCGACACGATGTTTGAGCCCTTAACGATGGTACAGCCCTGACACGATGTTTGAGCCCTTAACGATGGTACAGCCCAGACACGATGGTAAGCCCAGACACAATGGTAAGCCGTGAAGGGCGAGCGTGGGGCCGTGAGGGGCCGTGAAGGGCGAGCGCGGGGCGGTAAGGGGCCGTTAGGGGCAAGTGCGGGGCCGTAAGGGGACGTGAAGGGCAAGTGCGAGGCCGTTCGGGGTTCGTAGGGGCGAGCGCGGAGCCGTTCGGGGCCTCAAGAGGCGAGCGCGGGGCCGATCGGGGCCATTAAGGGAGAGCGTGGGGCCAGTCGGGACCGTTAAGGGCGAGTGCGGAGCCGACGGAGCCTCTAGGGGCGAGGTCGGGGCCGTAAGGGGCCGTTAGGGAGGTAAGCGCGGGGCCGACGGGGCCTCTAGGGGCGATCGCGGGGCCGTAAGGAGGGCCTGTAGGGAGGCAGGCGCGGGGCCGACGGGGCCTCTAGAGGCGATCGCGGGGCCGTACGGGGCCTCTAGGGAGGTAAGCGTGGGGCCGACGGGGCCTCTAGGGGCGATCGCAGGGCCGTACGGGGACTCTAGGGAGGTAAGCGTGGGCCAACGGGGCCTCTAGGGGCGATCGCGGGGCCGTACGGGGCCTCTAGAGAGGTAAGTGTGGGGCCAACAGGGCCTCTAGGGGCGATCGCGGGGCCGTAAGGAGGGCCTCTAGGGGCGGCTAGCACGGGGCCAACGGGGCCGTTAAAAACCAAGGCGCGCTAGGGCGTAGGCAGGTAGGTAGGTAGTGGTGGGCCCTTAAAAAAAAAACGGTCCTAGGAAGGACCTGCTCTATACCATGTTGGAATGAAGGAACAAGAAAAAGTGATTGAACTAGCAGTGAAATCAGTACAAGTACCTAACCCTAGAAATGTGAACCCCCTATAGGCTAACCCACTGTAGCCTAAACAAGCACAACATATACAATGTTTGACAGGCGCTGGTGCGTCTTGGGGTGCTGCTGCGGCTACTGCAGCTGACAGTCCTACTGGAGCTAGTGCTGCTGGAGTTGGAGCTGCTGGGGGTGTTGGCGCTGGCGGAACTGCTGGCGCTGGTGCTGCCGCTGGGGGTACTTGTGCCGTCCTTGCTAGTTCTGGAGGCGCTGAGCGGCCGAGGCCGTACTTCGTTCCACTCCTGGAGCAGGTTCTTGGTCTCCCGCCCTCTCCTAGTCCTGCTCCTTCCTTAAAGTGTCCATAGCCTGTCCACTCGCAGTCACAGTTACAGCCCGCCTCCCCTCTACCTGCTCCTTCTCCCTACACTGGTCCTACTGGAGGTCTTGCTAAGCATCGTGCGCTTGCGTCTCGTCCTGCGTCGCATGTTCGTGCTGCTCGCACTAGTGGTCGTACTGCGCGTCCGCGTCCTCCTGCGGTCCCCGGCACACACTAGATGGCGCTGGGTCCTTCGACTGTTCCTCTGCGTGTCCCGTTGCCGTCTCCTCCAGAGTCCTCTCTTCCTGTCCTTGCTGACCCGGAGTCTGACTCTCTCCGTGCTGCCAGTCCTACTGTCACGCGTCTCCTGGCTACTGTTGTCACTGACCCTTCCTTTGAGTCCACTTCTGCGTCTGCCTTAGTTGCTGAGCTTGTCGACTTTGCTGCTCGCCGTCGTATAGACTACGCTACTAGTCTCGTTGCCGAGTCTGCGTCTGGTTGTCCTCCGTCCGTCAGGGGTGAGTGTGCTCTTAGCACGGATGTCCTTGAGGACACACCGGAGGAGTTCCAGTGTTTCGCTGCTGCTTTGCCTCATCTCGTGTCCACGCTAATTGCTCCTGAGGGAGACCCGAATGCACCAGACATCCCGACTCCTTGATCGTACGCTGAGGCGATCAAGGGTCCCTACTCCTCACAGCGCACCATTACCCTGACTCAGTCACACATGGTGCAGCAGGTCCTTCAGCGCTTCGGCTTCACGTACTCCTCGCCTCAGGCCACTTCTCTGTCTACTTGCCACTCGCTTTCAGCTCTGCCTTCGGATGAGTCCGTAGAGCCGAGTGGCCCATACCCAGAGCTTGTTGGCTGCCTCATGTACCTGATGACCTGCACACGACCTGACCTTGCATACCCTCTTAGCATCTTGGCACGCTATGTTGCTCCTAGGAGACACCGACCAGAGCACATGGCTGCAGCGAAGAGGGCGTTGCGCTACGTGTGCAGTACGTCAGGCATGGGGCTAGTGCTTGGAGGGCAACGTCGAGTGGTACTGGCAGGTAACGCTGACGCTTCTTGGGCTGATGACCAGGCTCTGCAGCGGTCGTCACAGGGTTACACCTTCAGCCTTGGCTCTGACTCTGTTTCGTGGCGGTCTACCGGCTCGTCTTCTGTTCTCAGCTCCAGCTGTGAGGCTGAGATCTACGCAGGGGCCATGGCTGCACAGGAGCTACGCTGGCTCACCTACCTGCTGACTGACCTAGGAGAGCCGCCTCGTTCTCTACCAGTTCTGGACGTAGACAACAAGGCCATGCTGGCCTTGTGTCGAGATCACAGACTAGAGCACAGAACGAAGCACATTGCTCTCCGCTACTTCCTGGCTTGTGAGCTGCAGCAGCGTGTTCAGCTCCGCCTCACCTACGTGGCCTCTCAAGCCAACAGTGCTGATATCCTCACCAAGGCCCTTCCGCCTTGTGAGCATCAGCGTTTCTGTACTTTGCTAGGTCTTGTGCCTACCTGGCCTCACTTGCTCACTTCTTGATCTTGTTTGTACTATACTCTTTCTATACCTGCACTTGCTTGTTTACCTTTATATATATGACCTTGCATGTGAACTGGCCTTGTGGCCTTGCTCTTGTGCTCGGACTGTGTGGTGACTTTGTGATCCACCCTGAGCTTGCTTTGCTTTGCTTGACCGGTCTTGTGACCACTTGTTCTCCCCCACTTTGCCTATGGGGGTGTGGCAGAACATTATAGCTTATACATCTGTGTAGGCTGTAGTGGGGTAGCCCATGAGGGGTACAACCCAATTAGGGTTACTACGTGTACCCAAGTGCTTCATAGCTCAATCATTCTCGTTTAAATTTTCATAACGGCCCCGTCGCCGCCCCCTCTAGGCCCCTTACCGCCCCTTCATGGCCTCGTTGACACACCCTCTAGGCCCCTTGCGGCCCCTCTGCGGCCCCGTCGCCGCCACTTGCGGCCCCGTTGCCCTCCTTTGGAGGCCCCGTCGCCGCCCTTTGCGACCACCTCGTCGCCCTTAGCGGCCCCGTCGCCTCCCCCAGCGGCCACATCGCCGCCTCTACTGGCCCTGTCACCGCTGAGCCGCCCAGCGAACGAGCCGCCGAGCCGCCCAGCAGCCGAGCCACCCAACAGCCGAGCTGTCGAGCCGCCCAGCAACCGAGCCGCCCAGCACCGAGCCGCCACGCAGCCGAGCCGCCCAGCAGCTGAGCCGCCCAGTAGCCGAGCCGCTCAGCAGCCGAGCCGCTCAGCAGCCGAGCCGCCCCGCAGCCGAGCCGCCCAGCACACGAGCCGACGAGCCGCCCTGCTGTCGAGGCACTACTGTTCCTACCGGCGCGCCCCGGCCCTAGTTACTCGGACAGGTGAGATCACTCCCTGCTAGGCCACTGCAGTCATGGCTACCCCCAGTGTTCTAACCTTTGATGCTGAGGGCCTGCTGTTGACTTCAAGGTCTGGGTCGATGACCTCCAGCTGTTTCTACATTGCGATAGGACAGGCGGACTCTCTCTGTTCGATCTCACCTCTGGTGTCTCTCTTGCCCCGCCTGCTACTGCAAACAGCACTGTTCGCTGACAGTGGGCCACACGCGATGCTGCTGCTCGCCTTGCTGTGCGTCGCCACTTACCGACCACTGAACGTGCGCACTTTAGCTAGTACAAGAGTGCTAAGACCTTGTACGACGTTGTAGTTGCACGCCACTCCTCCCTGCACCTGCTGCGCTTAGCCGCCTCATGCTGCCGTACCAGTTCCCTGACCTTGCTGCCTTTCCCATAGTCGCTGACCTTATTACGCACCTTCGCACTAGTGACATTCGCTACCGCGCTGCGCTTCCTGCTGAGTTCTGTGCCAAGAACCCACCCCCCACCATGTACATCACCCTCTACTACATAGTCACCCGCCTCCCTGTCTCCCTTCGCTTAGTCAGGAATCACTTCCTCTCAATTTGCCCCACCACACTCACCGTTGACCTCTTTGAGAAGCGCCTCCTAGCAGCAGAGAAGAGCATAGTCGCTGTAGGAGCCTCTCGTGGTAACCCTCGCACCCCCGTCTCTGAGAAATGTCCCCCCTCCCCCCTCTTGCCCTCTGCTACTAAGGCCTGCCTCGTTGGTTTTGAGTCGGTCGGCATTGCGTCTGCCCCTAGCGGGAGACGCCGCACTGGCAAGGGCAAGGGGGCAAGGGCGCTGGAGGGGCTGGCGGGGGCGGTGGAGGTGGTGGTGGAGGCAGTGGAGGGGGTAGGGGTGGTGGTGGGAGTGGTGGCGGAGCTGGAGGTGTTGGTGCTAGCAGTGGAGGCGGTGGAGGCGGTGGAGGTGGTGGAGGGAGCGGAGGCGGCGGAAGTGGTGGAGGCAGCGGAGGTGGCGGAGGCGGCGGCGGCAGTGGTGGACCTGGTCACGGCTCTGCGCAGAGGAGTGGCTCCGGCGGTGGTCCACACCACCAGCAGCGGCGCAGTCGTGAGACCCTGTCCCCTCAGCATCTTCGTGAGTGGTACGCTGCGCGTCAGCACGGTGGGGGTACTGGTCCCTGCACCTACGTTATTCGTACCGGCGACCGCGCTGGTGAGGAGTGCGGGGGCCCGCACTCCACCCAACGCTGCTTCACCCGCCTGACGGACGCGTGGCATCACCAGTTCCCTGAGGCCTCTGAGATCCCTCACTAGGGAGAGCTATCTAGGGCGGGGTTTTCTATCTTTGATCTTGATTTGGATGCTATTCTAGCTGCCATGTATGCTGTGTCTGATAATGTTGAGGGTGATTGTTAACTGTGTGTTCCGCCTGACCCAGGCATTGATACTGTTGCTCTAGGTACTAGTGGGGCTGCTGCTCTAGGTTTTAGTGCGTCTGCTGCCCCACGTACTGGTGAGTATGCTCTCTAAGGTACTACGTCCGCTCAGGCCTTACACACCTTCACCCTTGACTCAGGTGCTTCCTGCTCATTCTTGTTGGTGCAACCCTATGGTTTGCACTCGGCTTGTTGTCCGTGTGCATGCATGTGTGTGTGTATGTAATGGTATGAGGGCATGGGATAATATATATTTCATGCTTATAATTGTGTATGAATGTTGAGTCATGATGTCGAGTGTGTGTGTTGAGTCAATAGCGAGTTATCGCTAGACGCGTGTTACGCGGTCGTTTGTGTCTCGCACGCGGTTTCTATTTTGTCGTGCGCGGTTTCTATTTTGTCCTGTGTCGAACGTTCGGTGTGTCGCAGGTGTGTGCAGCAGACCCATCAAGAACTCAAGGATGAGTTTGTGATGAAGAGCCCGAGCCTTGGTGTCAAGCCTCAAGTGATTTCGAAGCTCGCCAAAAGGGTACACCTCAAGATATTGAAGATAGTTACATTACTTTGTGTAGTGTAACATTTCACTTGGTGTAGGCCCTAGTGAAGGGTAGTTTCGAGACCCTTCGTGGTTGGGGACAGTGTGGCACTGTTCCACATCACTGTACCTCGGCTCTTGGGGTTTGTAGGAGCTGGGAGTCATTCCCAACTCGTAACTCTTCATATCTCTTCCCATCTTGTGTTCTAAGACCATAGTGGCTGCCATAGTGCCGTTCGTTCAAACCAACCATGTGTCGTCAATACTTGGTCAAATCGTGCGATCTAAATTGCCTATTGTAGGCGACAATAAGGCGCTCCAGATCCAAGTTGAATCAAGTCGTTTGAAGCTGTGGCCAAAACGCTATGAACGTTTGAAGCCGCTGTGCAGAAATCCGACTGTGCACTCTATCTTTCGTTTTAGGCACATTGGAGCCTACTGTGACTATAACAAGTGGTATCAGAGCCCCTTGGAGCAGTTTCGACAATGGCTGGACCTGAGGAAAGGGGTGGCAGAGGTGCTGGTGGCAGAGGAGAAGCCCAAGCTCAAGGCCAACCCCGTGATTCAACCATGGCGCCCGTGCAACCAAGTGTTGGCCCATCTAGGGATGAGCCTAGAGTATTTGGCCTTGACAAGTTCAATGGTGACAACTTTGCTGAGTGGTCCTTCAGAATGGAGAACATATTTGACCACTATGACCTGCTGGAGGTGATGGAAGGAACGGAGAAGCGTCCCGAGAACGACCCGGAGAAGAGCCCGTGGGTGCGGAAGAGCGCACAAGGCTACCTCCTACTTGGGCAAGCGTTGGGGAGCAGCCAAATCCGTCACATCAAGCCTTTCCAGCGTGAACCAGAGAAGGGACCAAAAGCATGGGCTGCTCTCAAGGGTGTACACGCTCCTGCAACAGCGGCGGTAGCTGTGGTGTTGGAACGACAAATGGCGACGTTACGAATTGAAGAGGATGAAGCGGTTGAAGAAGGGGTGCAGAAATTCTTCGACTTGTTGACGCGGCTTGAGGGAGCTGATTTGAACTATAGTGAGCTCCAAAAGAAGACCAAATTGCTGGCCCTACTCCCCGAATCATGGTCCTCGCTCATCATCAACCTGAATCGCGACTTGCCCCGCCTCTCGCTCGAAGACGTGAAGCGGGCTATCCTTCAAGAGGATTTCCGCCGCCGTGAGTTGGCGAGTGCGGATGGCGCTGGGGCAGCGAGCATCGGCCGTGGATATGGTCGAGGAAGAGGCAGAGGACGAGGGGGAGGAAGGTTTGGTGGCAGCAACTTCGGCGGAGGCCGCGGGAGTGGCGGTTACGGCAGCGACGACAAGAGCTACGGACGCGGTCGCGGCCGATTCGACGGCGAGTGTCACTATTGCCACAAGAGCGGACACATGTGGCGCGACTGCTACAAACTCCCTGATGGTTGGACCCCTGCTCAAGGCCAAGAGGGTAGAGGAGCAGGAGGAGGGAGAGGACGAGGCCGTGGAGGCCGTGGCGGTCGTGGTGGCGGAGCTGCAAACATGAAGAGCGGAGACAACGACAAGGACCCGAGCGACGATCGATACCCGGGTCTATTCTACTTCGTGTCGACGCAAGCACCGGCTGGTCCAGAGAAGGATGAAGGCTTTGAGGAGCCAGCAGCTGTGGGGAAGGTGACCCTACACCCCCTGGACTACTGGGTGATTGATAGTGGCGCTACCTATAGCATGACACCTCGCCCGGACTTGCTCACCGAACTCGAGCCGTCACCGGTGAAGCATGTCACATCGGCTTTGGGGCAGCGAGCTGAGGTGAAAGGCATGGGGAAGGCCATGTTCAAGGGTGCTGATGGGAAGATGGTGGGCCTCAAGAACGTGCTTTGGGTGCCCAGCCTTGCTGCAAACCTGATTTCCGTGCGGCGGTTGGCAAAGGCCGGCATGGACACGAACTCGAAGGGAGCCAAGACCTACACTGCAAGGCTTGGCGATCGAATTCTCTGGGACCTTCATGAGGACAAGGATGTCTACAACGAGATGTGGCAGATCCCAGTGGTCCCTATGCCTAAGGAGAGGCAAGTGGCAGCAAGCATCAGCACCAAGAATGGAGCGGTCGGTAGCGACGATGGCGCGAACGGTTGCGCTAAGGAGAATGAGCTCAAGAAGAGAAAACCTGGAGGGACCAGCAAGCTTGGTGAACCTATGGAGAGAGGTGCAGCAGCCAAAGAGCAGCAAAAGGGTGAGGAGAACCCCGAGGCAGCAGCGGAGGAGGACTACGGAGAGAGTATGTGGGGCGCTATTGCGAGCGCGGCATTCTCCAATCCAACTTCGGCTACGGGGGAGTGTGATTGGCTCACCTTGCATCGGCGCATGGGGCATGTGGCCCTGCCCATCTTGCAGCAGCTAGTGAAGAATGAGATGGTTGCTGGCATACGTGTGAAGGGGGAGCCCGATGAGGTACTTGGCTGCCCGACGTGCATGCAAGCCAAGTTCACCCGTTTCCCATTCTCTAGTTCGGAGGCAACAGCTAAGGCACCACTTGATGAGGTGGTGATGGACGTGGTGGGCCCCCTGAAGCTTGGAGCTGCTGGAGCTGAGTACTTCCTCACTATTGTGGACGTCTACACCCGTATGACTTGGGTGTACGTGCTGGCCAGGAAGAGCGACGTGGCTGAAACGTTGAAGACGGATTGGTTCCCGATGGTGGAGCGGCAACAAGACCGTCTAGTCAAGTCAATCCGCACCGATCGAGGGGGAGAGTTCCTGAGCAAGGAGTTTGGGTTGTGGCTGAAGAAGAAGGGTATTCGGCACTCCCTCACCATGCCATACTCCCCTGCAATGAATGGCATCGCCGAGCGAGCGAACCGCACAATCACGGAGGCGGCACGCGGGTTGCTCATTGAAGCCGGGCTACCCGACTATTTCTGGCCTGATGCGGTGCGGAGCGCATGTGTGGCCAAGAACAGAGCCTTGACTCATGTGGGAGCAGACAAATGGGTGCCCTATGTGGAGTGGCTAGGAAGGAAGCCAAAGGTGGATATGCTTCGGGTGTTCGGGTGCATGTGCATGGCGCTTGTGCCTAAGCATCTTCGGCACAACAAGCTTGGTGCCAAGGCGGTGTGGGCCGTGCACTTGGGCATGGCTCAAAACAGCAAGGGATGGCTTCTTTGGGACCCATTCACCAAGAAGTTCTTGGTGAGCAGGGACTGCAAGTTCATGGAGAACTTCATGTACAAGGATTGGAAGGCGGAGAATGAGGCGAAGATAGGCGTGCGGTTTGGGGAGGTGAAGAGTTCCGGTTTGGAGCATGTGGAGCTGCCTTTGGAGCTGAGCAGCGGCAGCACAACCACGAGGCAATCCTTCCTTGTGAGAGGAGGAGAGGAGGCCACTGATGCAGAGGAAGAAGAGGAGGAGGTGCAGCAAGTGAGTGAGCGTGCACCGTCACTCCCTTCCCGTACCACGAGTGCTCCACGGAATCGAGCCACACCGCAGCAACGCCAAGTCGCTGCAGCTGAGGAGGAAGGAAGGGGGAAGAGGAGAGTTCAACCCCCTAATAGGCTGACCTATGATGCGCTGGGAAAGCAGGGCAAGACAGCCCTGGCCGGAGCGGCAATGATGGTCGGAGACGACGAGGAGAGTGACTACGAGGAGTGTGCCTTCGCGTTCTTCTCTCCGGTGGAGATGCCGGGAGAACCAGCAACTCTCAAGGAGGCTTTGGAGAGTAGTGATGCTGAGGAGTGGAAGAAGGCTTTGGAGAGTGAGCTGAAGAGCATCGAGGAGAATGACACGTTTGAATTGGTGGAGCTACCGGAGGGGCGTACGGCGATAACGTCCAAGTGGCTCTTCAAAATCAAGTCGGATGCCGACGGCAAGATCGAGCGTTACAAGTCTAGGCTTGTAGCCAAGGGGTACCAGCAGAAGGAGAAGGTCGACTTCAAGGAGCTGTTTGCCCCTGTGGTGAAGCCGACGACGCTGCGAACCCTATTCGCGGGAGCCGCCATCAAAGGATGGGTAGTTAAACAAATGGACATCATAACAGCATTCCTTAACGGCATCCTTGAGGAGGAGATTTTTATGGCACAGCCAGAGGGGTTTGATGATGGTAGTGGCAGAGTGTGGAAGCTGAAGAAGGCCATCTATGGGCTGAAGCAGGCCCCTAGGCAATGGTACATGAAGCTGCGCGAAGTGTTGGAGGAGATCGGCTTCACTCCCTCAACGGCCGATCACTCCTTCTTCATGCTTGGCGAGGGGGAACAGAGGAGCTTCATGGTGGTTTATGTGGATGACATTCTCATATTCTCACCCTCCTCTGACCTTGTGAAGGAGGTGATGCTGAAGCTGCATGACAAGTTCAAGTGCAAGTCCCTTGG